TAGGACATGCCACAGCCTGGCCACCCACCTGGAAAGTGCTGCTCAGGACCACGGACAGCGAGGCCCGCCGCCCCCTTGAGCCTGCCCCCCAGGAGCCCGCCCTCACCAGTCCTGCAGCGTTCAGGAGCCCCAGAAGCAGGGGGCCCTGCGTGTGCCGGGATCCAGGCGGGCCCAGAAGCCTGCGCCACCGTCTCCCACCCGGCTGCCGGTCGGAGCTCCAGCGCGGGGGACCTGCAGAGAAAGGACCCAGCAAGAGATGTGAGTCCTGCCCTCCCCCCACGCCCGCAGCTGCTGTGCCCAGCGGAGACGCAGGTCCCTCCCAGGTCGCAGGCGTCCGGACCCTCCGGTGACCCCTCTACTCCCGGCCTATCAGCCGCCCTGAGGCTCCCGGGAAAACCAGCGCCCCTCTGCCCGCCTCCTGACCCCGGGGCTGACCGGGCCACGCTGAGGAGGAGGTCCACCAGCGAGTGTGCAGCTGGCACGGGGTCCTTCTCGAGCAGACAGGCCACCAGGGGACTCAGCCGCGCCCAGAGCACCTGCGTCCACGGGTGGTGGCAGTGCCCGAACGTGGTGGTCAGGACGTTGAGGGCCTGCGTGACCCGCGGGGTGGCGGGGGAGCACAGGGACTCCTCGATGTGGCCCACGATCCTCTGGGCACTGGCCGGCCAGTCGCACACCTGGGGGCCGGGGTGGCCCTCGGCCTGGCCCCGCAGAGACAGGCCCAGGATGTGCGCCAGGAGCTGCCCGGCCGCCGAGGCCACAAACAGGCTGGAGTCTCCCTGCAGGGAGACCACGGTGTCCAGGGCACCTGGGGGGGAGACGGCTCAGCGGGACGGGGAGCGTGGGACCCACAGCCACGCAGCAGCGGCATGGCGAGGCCACAGCGCCCAGGGGTGGGGGTGTGGGGGGGGCACTCACCGAGGTCGGCCAGGAAGTGCAGGGCGCTGGGGTGCTGGGCCAGGGAGCGCAGGCCCTGGATCCAGCCGCTGCGCACAGTGGGTGCCGTCCAGGCCGCTCCGCCGAGGGGGCCCGCCTCCCCGAAGAGCCCGGGCAGCAACTCCCCCTGCTGGAGGGAGAGGAAGTGGGCCCTGGGCGGCTGTGCTCCTGGGCGCCTTAAACAAAGGCTCATCCATCCTGTAGTTCATTTCAGGGATCCCCCCAGAGCGGCACCCCCAGCGGCACCTCCGCGGGCCCACCTCTGCCAGGACATCCTGGCTTAAGGACCCCCTGGCCTCCTGGCCTCCTGGCCCCAGCCTGGGGGGCCATCAGGGCACACCCACCTCCAGCTGTCCCCACCTGGATGCCCCGCACGCCCGGGGGTCAGGCTGTCCCCTGCCCCATGCAAACCCCTTACGAGACAAGCCACTGCGGAGACTCGGGGGTGCGACAGCCACCCCTGCTTTAGGCACCTGCCGGGGCAGAAGGCAGCCGGAGGACAGGCTCACCTGCAGGAACTGGAAGCAGTCCTCCTGGGCAGCGAGCAGGCCCGCCAGGCGGAGCGAGAAGGCGAGGACGCGGGGACTCAGGCCCAGGGTCTTTGGCACCTGCAGCAGCAGCTCCACCAGGCAGGGGCTGTCCTGCAGCAGCTGCAGGCTGGACCCTGGACAAGGCCAGCGGGGCCGTCACCGCACAGCCACGCGTCCCGAGGGCTGCTCTCCCGGCCGGCAGCTCCCACCCCCTCTCGGGCCTTTAGATGGAGCAGCTAATGGGAGGACATGTTTGCCACAACGGCCATGGGAAGGGTCCATCACTTAACCCAGCGGTTCTCAACCTGTGGGTCGCGACCCCTTTGGCGGTCGAACGACTCTTTCACAGGGGTCGCCTAAGACCATCCTGCATATCAGATATTTACATGACGATTCCTAACAGTAGCAACATTACAGTTATGAAGTAGCAACAAAAATAATGTTATGGTTGGGTCACAACACGAGGAACTGCATTTAAAGGGCCAGAAGGTTGAGAACCACTGACTTAACGCAGGGAACAAACTAGGAGGCCAACACCTCACACGGGTCGAGGGCGCAGGAAGTGCAGGTGCTGCCGATTATGAAAGAGACGCAAGTTCCAGCAGGACCATCGTTCCCTCAAGCGGACACTTTTCTTAAACTGAGCGAACTTGATGCCGGAAGCACAGCAGGAGGCCATTCCTGCGACCCGCACCTCAGCGTCTACCCTCACCCACGCGCCCGCGCCATTCACCGACGGGAGGCAACGCGGATGAAGGCCGGTCCCAAGGGGGGCCCACGACGAGGGCTCCGCACACTGAGCTTCGGGGAGAAGGGAACGGACAGGGCGAGGAAGAGGGGGCAGCAAGGGCGGCCACAGACCGGGCAAATCTACAGGCACCGCTGTCAGGGCTGGGGTTGGCTCCAAACACCAGACAAGGGCCCAGCGATCGTGCCGCCCGGAGGAACCGCGCAGAGGAGATGCTAACAGCTGGAGGGTGGCCGCTCAGGAACAGGCGTGGGACGCGCAACTTCAAAGCCGGAAGGAAGGGCTGACAAAACCGAAAGCTTTATCCTCCCGTGGGGGGCAGGACCAGGAGGGACAGGAGCAAAGACCGGAAAACGTAAAGAACGTGGGAGAACAGGCTCAGATACAACAGGAAGCAAATGGAACCGGTTCCCGGTGTTAACAGAGCTGCTCAGACCGCGTGCAGAGCCCAGGCCGGCTGCTGTCTATGGGAGTCGTGCGGCCGGCACGGGGACCTGCGGGCGGAGGGACAGGCGGCACCTTCCAACCGTAAAAAGCGGCTTCAACACAGAGCCCTCGGGGCTTCAGGAGCCGTTTCAGAGGCGACGGACCCGCCAGCCTGCTCGCTCCCCACGCCAAGGCTCCTGAAGGGAAAAGGATTCCAGAAGAAAATGCCCACAATCTCAGCGTGAGATGGTCACACGCCTCGCAGAGACAGCCACGCAAAATGAGCAAGAACGACAAACATGTGAACGCAGGAACAGGCGCGGAGCTAGGAGACAGGACACAGGGAAGCCAGTGCTGACTTTGGGGGCGGGGGCTCCTGGGAACCAGGCCTCTTTGGGGAGAAAAATGTTGCAAAATGAGGTTGTGGCGATAGCTGCACAGCACGGTAAATGCGCTGAAAGCCACGGAAGTGTACACTTTAAATGCGTCAGCTGCATGGTGAATCAAAACTTTTTTTTAAACTGTGACTACAGCCCTAGCTGGTGTGGCTCAGTGGATAGAGCGTCAGCCTGCGGACTGAAGGGTCCCGGGTTCGATTCCTGTTAAGGGCACATGCCTGAGTTGCGGGCTTGATCCGCAGTAGGGGGCGTGCAGGAGGCAGCCAATCAATGATTCTCTTTTCTGTCTCTCTCCCCCTCTCCCTTCCCCTCTCAATTCAATAAAGATACATTTAAATAAATAATGTGGCTTACGAACGAGGCCACCAGGGAGGACTCTGCATATGCCAGAACAATCATCGTGGAAAGTATGAAATCCCTGGAACTGCATTACAGCAGAAGCACTCACCACCCAGGGCAGCCCGAGGGAGGGCGGGCGGAGGGCCCGGTCAGAGGAGAGCGTGTAGGAGAAAACAAGAAAGGCCTCCACATTCAACACAAAAGAGGGTAAGAGACTGACTAAGGGGAAAACAGCAGAAGTCAGTGTCGGAGAATTATGGCACCGTTTATAGTAACGAACCGTTAGAGACAGGATCACCTTACAATGGAGACGTAATTAGGTAAAATCTAGTGAATGCAGGTCCCGATCCCGCCGACCTGCACAGTCAGTAAATCGACCTGCTCCAAGCAGAAAACACCTGCTGTGAGGTAAGAGAGAACCGGCAAGACCCCAAACTGTATGATGGTGGGACCTCATTTTTATAAGAAACACTAGAGGCCTGATGCATGAAATTCCTGCAAGGGTAGGCCCTCCTTCCCCCAGCTGCCGGCACTGGCTTCCCTCTGGCACCTGGGACCCGGGCTTCCCTCGCAGCCCGGCTGCATCCGGAAGGTCGTCCGGTCTAATTAGCATATTATGCTTTTATTATTGTAGATACAGCTTCATGTTAGGAAAATGGCCGGCAGGAAATAAAAAGGTGACTGGTTTAATTGTCCTCTTTACTCCTTTGTGTGGTTGAAGTTTTAGTATATCTCTACTGACTTCAGAGAGGAAGAGAGAGAGGGATGGAAACATCAATGATGAGAGAGAATCGCTGATCAGCTGCTTCCTGCACCCCCCACACTGTGGATCGAGGCCACAACCTGGACATGTGCCCTGACCGGGAATCGAACCCTGACCTCCTGGTTCATTGGTCGATGTTCAACCACTGAGCCACCAGCTGGGCATGTGGTTGAAGTTTTATATAAAGAATATGTGTTGCCGAAACCAGTTTGGCTCAGTGGATAGAGCGTCGGCCTGCGGACTGAGGGGTCCCGGGTTCGATTCCGGCCAAGGGAATGTACCTGGGTTGCGGGCACATCCCCAGTAGGAGATGTGCAGGAGGCAGCTGATCGATGTTTCTCTCTCATCGATGTTTCTAACTCTCTATCTCTCTCCCTTCCTCTCTGTAAAAAATCAATAAAATATATTTAAAAAAAAAAAGAATATGTGTTATGCCCCTGGCTGGTGTGCTCAGTGGTTAGTGTCAGCCTTGCATGGAAGAGTCTCGGGTTCGATTCTGGTCAAGGAATGCCTGGGCTGCAGGTTTGATGCCCAGCCCCGGTCTGGGCATGTGCAGGAGGCAACCACATCGATGTTTCTCTCTCTGTCTCTCTCGTCCCCCTCCCTCGCTTCAATCTTCTCTAAAAAATCAATGGAATCTAATATTAAAAAAAAAAAAAATCCAATGGAAAAAATATCAGGATTAAAAAAAAAAGTTTTACTTTCATAATCAGAGAGAAAACAAAATCGATTTTTTAATAAAGAAAAAAAATGCATTGCGAACAGGAAAACGCGTGTGCCCTCGCCCTCGGCAGCCACCTAGCACCTAGCATGGACGGAACTGCGGAGGCCTGAATCCGGCTGGAATCGGTAAACTTCAAGCTGCAGCTCTCGCGCCCTGATCACTTCCTCACCCTGATGTGACCCCAAGTAGCCAGGGGGGGGTCTTCAGGATGTGAGGGAAGGACACTGACCAGATGCGGACCCCTCCTCCAGGACAGGGGAGCCCTTTCCCCTCTGGCCTCTGGGAAAGGCAAGAACAGCGCCCCTCACCTGCTTCAGTTAGGGCTTTAAACCAGTCCAGCAACTTCTCCAAGCAGGTGTCATCTGCCAGGGGCTGCCCGGGGTCTGCCAGGGCCGCACAGAGACCGGGGAGGAGCTGGGCGCACTCGGGGTCCATGACGAGGCCGGGGTCCTGCAAAGGAAAGGTCAGGCCCGGCCCCCACAGCCCGAGTCGCAGGCAGCCCCCAAGCCCGCTCAGGGCACCAGGACTGCCAGGCGGCGGGCGGGTCGCAATGACACAGC